GTGTGTGTGTGTGTGGTTCGTTTACGATAAATTGTTTGCTCTTGTTATTTCGTGTATAAAAGTGTTCGAATAAAATAATTCAAAAGTGGATATTTTCCGAGATGTTTTAAGTCATTCTAATATTTTCCAGTATAGGAAATGTTTTATAAGAAATGTCTTATAACTCTTCGACAATGTTACCTTTAATCTCCTGAGCAAAAATGTATCTAGTAGAGCAGATTTCAAGACTAGTAACTAAATAGTAATGACTAGATAAGTTTTCTTGCAAGTCGCTAGCTCGTGACTGGCTAAATTTCTACGCAGTCTTTTGAATGTCAGAACTATCTAGTAATTATAACAATTACATAAATAGTGGCTAGATGAAAACGATTACACAGTAACGAGATAGAAAATCTTCGGTAAATCCAGAATAGAAATTGGATATCAGAACTCTCTAGTAACTGTACCAATTATAGTTACAATGTATTTTTTCGTATCTAGCTACTAGATAATTTTTCTAGTACAGCCACTAGAAGAAGTGAACGTTACATTCCTTGCTAGTAGCGAAGACCCAACTTTTCTGTGTTATTACTATACAATCACTAGATTCAATTTTTGCTCGGGTTTGTATACGTTGAATAACAAAAAAAAATCGAATAATAATGTTAACCGCTGTATACTGATCCCAGACACAGAAAATTCAAAAAGAATTCAAAATTGCTACTAGACATTAGAAAAATCCAATAGGCAATAAACTGTATATCTTTCAGACCAAGAGTCAAGCAGTAGCAGCATGGACAATTCATTTTCCAAATTCTTAAACATTGCCTACTTTTCGACATAGTTTGAGTGGATATATTTTGTACTGTTAATGTAAATTCTTTACTAATAACATTTTAAAAACTTGCAAATTTTCTTTTCTCCTTCACGTTCCTTTTTTTATTTTATTTTTATTTCATTTATATTATATAATTATTACTACTATATTTATACTATGTATTTATTATATTGCACTTGCGCTCGCGCACGGGAAAATAAATAAACTCGTTTTTTAAAAGAACAAGAACCTTCATTGTTTACAGCAATACCGTAAAATTTTACAAACTGAATACGAGATTGACACACGTCCGCTCGCGATCACGACTTGTCCTCTCTCCCTCTCTTTCCCTCTCACTCCCTCTCTCTCCCTCTCTCACCCACCCTCAACTCTTTCTTTTTATTTATTATAAAACAGCTGTTGACCGCCGTTGCTCAGGCAACAAGCAGCTCAGCAACATCGTGAACCTTTCTTTTAACAAGTTTTTACTTTAATAAAAAATTTTTTTGAAATTTGTCATGTTTTAGTAACGCAGGAATAAATTGTTAATAAAATACTTTCTTGTAAATGAACATAATAAAGTTTCTAATAGCATGTTTTACTGTTTCTATAAGATAAACAACACATTTGTAAATGAGAGATAATATATTCATACAGTATCGATGTGTTCCACAGTACAAAGTTTCTACAACTTTTACTGACATTCTTTCCCTGTATTGGCTATATAACCGATTTTTTAAATGTAATCAAAAGACACGATAGTGATTTATATCAAATAGATGTACAAGAAAATGCATGCGCCGCGAGGTCGACCATATATGCGATGTGCAAAAAATAATAGTATTAAAATCTTGCATCGTTTAATAATAATAAAGAAATAATTATTTAGATTTTTGTGAATCCGGCTCCAATAATATTGATCTTGGTATACGTTAAAAGACTATCTAATAAATGCTACATTTGAAAAATACAATTGACAATAAACAGTATTTCCTTCAAGAGTAAAGCAATAACGGTATGGAGAATTCATTTAGCAAATTCCTAAACATTGCCTATTTTCTGGTCTATTTCGAGTGAATACCCCATAAACTATTGTATTAGTCAATTTGGTAATAACATTTTTAAAACTTCCAAATTTCCTCTTTTTCTCCACGTTTTTTTTTTGTTCTATTTTTATTTTTTTTATATTATATATTCATTATATATTATTATATTTATGTTATGTATTTATTATATTATTATTTATATTATTTATATAATTATATTTATATTATTATATTATATTTAGCTTATTTATTATTATTATATTAAAAATTTATTTATTTAGGATATTACAGAAAATAAAAGTAATGAAATTTTTAAGAAATTTATATGTGTTTATACGCAATATTCTAGTTGCGAACGGTTTCGTAGGTCATTAAAACTTTGTATGCCACTGAAATTGTCAACTACTTTGGTGACATTCAAGGAAACTTGCAAACAGTTTCTTATTGTACACGAAACCGTCGCCAAAAATACAACGTCTAAACTATATAAAAAGAACTATCTTACTTTTGTTCAAGGTACCGTATTTTACACATAAATTACTTCCAAATTGAAATTACAAAGAAATATTCATTATCTTCAGGTAAATAAAATATACAGGCATGGACCTTATCATTGATGTGCAAAAATTGCACGCCGATTCTAATTGGTCGAACGGCAATATTAATTATAATAATTTCTTTCATCCAAATATTTGTCACATTTGCAAAAGTAATAATTATGGTAATTTGATAAAATGCAACAAGTGTTATATGATTTCTTACTGTAGTGAGAAACATAAACAGAAAGATTTAGAACAACACGAGCAATTTTGCGCATATATAATGGAATACTTAGAATGGGACAATAGCACGGAATTGCTCCTTCGTCATTTCGGAACGTTCGAATGGACTGAGTCAAGAAAAAAGTTTTTGAGTGAAATCACGCAACGGCTACCACGTCGTCTGGAGCCGTACGAAATGCAAATGATTATTTTCGCAAAATCGTGTCGTATTTGTCATCAACAAATTAATATATATCCCTGTGAAGAGTGTTATTCCGACAACTTTTGCATTGTTCATATGCAAGATTTTGTAAAAAATCACGCATCAAAATGTGAAAAGTTGTTGTTAGGTCTCAATCTGGATATCTTAAATATCATACCTACAGAATTTAAACGATTAATTGAATTTCCTAATCAATCGAAACCTCCCGGTGACATGTACGAATTTGTTAACAATTGTGTGCACTGTTCTTATAGGGACTTGGACAATTGTAACCGAGTTTTTACAAAATTCGCATATTTCTGTTCCGATTATGTATCAGGACCATTCACGTTATTCGATGGGATGAGAAAAGCACAGTTATATCGTCTTCCAAATATGGCAGGACCTCAATTTGTTATTCACGTAATATCAGCAATCTCGAAAATAAATATATGAAGGCTTGGGAACTTCTCCATCATCTTTTATTGTGGATAAAGGAGTTAACAGTTGTTGATAGGAGAAGAATTAGAAACTCAAGATATAAATTTGGAAAGTTGTGACAGCTGCAAGTCCCGAAATCAAAAGATTAAAGTTGTGTGTCGTCCTGGATCTTACCACGGCTACACGACTGATCCAACGTTTCAACAACCAAATGTGATCATAATATTTCGAGCACATTTGGATTCAACAAGCGTATGGCAAGTACGTAGCTTATTGATATCACAGAATATGAGATGTCCATATATTCTAACAGCCGAATCGCAAACTATAGCGGTAGAAAACGTAAATAACATACGAAAGATTATATATATAAATCCTGTATATGATGGACCAAATAATTTCAAGTCCCTTTATCCATGCAGACAGTGGCATACTGATCGTGTGAGTTATCGTAATTCGTATATAACTGTGTATCGGAATTTACATTCGTCATAAAAACCATTCTAAACGATTTCAAGCTCTCTTATGCGATTTCCATATCACTCGTATTATTGTAAATAATATAAAAAATATTTCCCTCATTATTTATGAATATTTTTTAATATATAATCTATTTTTTATAAATTATAGATATTTCTAATAAAGAACTTATTTATCTACTCTCTTTATCTTTTTATTGTTGTTGTCTTAAGTTGTTATTGTCTTTTAATCAAAACGTATTGATAGTGAGAATAAGTACATCAAATGTATGAAAGCATCCCACAACAGCATGTTACTTTTATACGTACACGCGCATATACACACATGTATATACAGGATGTCTCATTTTAAATTGCGCATTGAGATTTTTCGAAAACCAAGGGTTTCATTAAAAAAATGTTGCAAACAAAATTAATAGAGTTTTAAGGGGACGCTTGATGGTGCCATTGATTTAATCCTCAATAACTCTGCTAAGATTACATAGAGTTACATCTAATTTTTAAATAGAAATATATGTAATTCTTTTAACATGAATTGATTCCTCTGGTTATTTCATGTATAAAAATGTTTAAGTAAAATATATAAAATTTAAAAGTGGATATTTTCTGAGATATTTTAAGTCTCATATTCTGATATTTTTAAATACAAGATATGGAATGTCTTATATGTTGTAAACTTTTCGATAATGTTACCTTAATATTTACCCTTACGAAAATATATTATAAGAAAACTACTGAGGACAATCGTATTTTCGTCGATTAACAAAAATACTACTGTTTTAACTATTGAAAACTTATATTAAAATTACTTATAAAATTAACGAATAGGTCTTCTATAGTTTTTGAATAGTGTTGTAATAAATATATAGTAGTATTCCAATATTTTTCAATAGTGTTTCAATAATTTTCCTATATTGCTCTCAGAAATTTTTTCTTATAGCTTTTTTCCATAAGGGTGTATACGTTGAATGACAAAGAAAGTCGATAGTTTAAAAATTAATAATGTTTATCTGTGTATATTGATCTCAGAAAGCACAGAAATTTCAAAAGAATTCAAAATTACTAGTGCACTAGTTTCCGAATTTATTTTCAACAGTAATATATTATAATATATTATAATGTATATAATATAATATATTGTTATTATAAGTTAATATATTATTATTACAAATAAAGCATCCGTTTTCGTAGGCGGCAAAAAAAATATAAACACATAGAATTTGTGTCATGTACTAGTCTATTTTGGACAGCAAATATATTTCATGATTGTGATCCGAACAAGCCTACCTTTTTATAAAAATGATAAAAACACACACCAAGTTCACACGTTTGCCTGCGAGTGGAATTGTACTAAAATTAATGTTTTTAATAAATAAATGTTTTTATAAATAAAAAAATATTTTATTTATAAAACAACACAAAATTAACAAATACATTAATGACGAATATTGTTTAAAATACTATTTTCTACAAAAAAGTGATATCACATAGATAAACTAGAAGTCCCTATAACAGAATCTATTTATATTAATTATATGACATAGAATCGCTCGCCTAGTTTTGTATAAACAAGCACTGTACAGCGGCAGTGTATACATGTATATGTATATGTATGTAGTTTATGCTTATCGATAAAATGCAATAAAACTTTCTGGCTACAAACTGATAAAAATGAAATTAATATTATTAATAATATTCATATTAGCATTATTTCAAAACATATCTCTTTTAATAACATAGAAGTAAATCTGTTACATAATATATTATAGCTATAATATAGCTATATTATAGCTATAACATACTATAATATAGGCATAGTATACCTAGTTACATAGTACATAGTATTGCTAAGAGTGCTAGAAATGCAATATGTGCAAATTGTGTAAATATAAATTGTGTGATAAAATATAAAATAACTACTTATGTAAAGACGCTAGCTAAGACGCGTCGATTTTTATTAATTACAAAAGTTTTAGTACATGAAAGAAGAATAATAACAAACAAATAAATATAATTCGCAAGAAGCCCACTCAGGAAAAGGATTTCGATGACGGAGCCGCACCTATAAAAGTATGAATTTGATATGCACTTAAAGAGAAGTCACGTACATATACATATTAATTGTCAAAAATTTATTGGCGCGACTCCGTCCTCGAAATCTCATCTTTGCGCCCACTTATTCTCCTTTTATTTAGCAAATTTCCTATTTTTCTCCACGTTTTCTTGTTTGTTTTATTTATATTGTATATTTATTATACGTTATTAAATTTATTATATTATTATATTATACATTTATTATATTATTATATTTACTTTATATATTTGTTATATTATTATATTATATTTACCTTATTATTTATTATTATTATATTAATATTTTATTTATTAAGTATATTTGTATTTATTATATTATAGAATACAATATGATAATAATAAAATTTTGGAAAACTCCGTATATGTTTATTCTAGTTGCGAACGGATATTCGTAGGTCATTATAACTTTGTGTGGTATTGAAATTGTCAACTACATTTATAACACTCTGAAAAACTTCCAAACAGTTTCTCTGGGTCCGCGAAACATTCGCCAACTATACTTCTAAACTGTGCAATGATAACTATTTTACTTTGTCCCAGGTAACGTATTTTCAACATAAATTACTTCCAAATTGAAATTACAAAGAATTATTTATTATCTCCAGATAAATAAAATATACAGACATGAATCTTATCATAGATGTGCAAAACTTGTACGACGATTCTACTTGGATGAACGGTGATATTAGTTATAATAATTTCTTTTATCCAAATATTTGTCACGTTTGCAAAAGTAAAAATTATGGTATTTTGATAGAATGCGATAAGTGTTACATGATTTCTTACTGCAGTGAGAGACATAAACAGACGCATTTTAAACAACACGAGCAATTTTGCACATATATAACAAAATTCTTAAGAGAGAGCAGTAAAACGGAATGGGGTATTCGTCATTCAGAAACGCCCGAATGGATTGAGTCAAGAAGAATATTTTTGGATGTAATCACGCAAAGGCTACCACGCAGTCTGGAGACGTACGAAATAGAAATGATCATTTTCGCAAAATCATGTCTTATTTGTCACCAACAAATTGATATACATCCCTGTAAAAGATGCTATTCCGCCAACTTTTGCCTTATTCATATGGAAGATTTTTTTATCAATCACGCATCAAAATGTGGAAACTTGATGTTATGTCTCAATCTAGATATCCTAAATATCATACCTACAGATTTTAAACGATTAATTAAATTTCCTAATAAATCGATACTTCCCGATAACATGCTTGAATTTGTTCTCAAATGTGTGCACTGTCCTTATAGAAACTTGAAAAATTATAACCAAGTTCTTTCAAAATTCGCATATCTCTGTTCCGATTATGCATCAGGACCATTCACGTTGTTCGATGGGATGATAAAAGCACAGTTAAATCATCTTCCAAATATGGCAGGATCTCAATTTGTTATTCACGTAATATCAGCAACCTCTATCGAAAATAAATATATGAAGGCTTGGGAACTTCTCCATCATCTTTTATTTTGGATAAAGAAGTTAACAGTTGTATTGATAGGAGAAGAATTAAAAACTCAAGATATAAATTTGGAAAGTTGTGACAGCTGCAAGTCCCGAAATCAGAAGATCAAAGTTGTGTGTCGTCCTGGATCTTACCACGGCTACACGACTGATCCAACGTTTCAACAACCAAATGTGATCATAATATTTCAAGCACATTTTGATACAACAAGCACATGGCAAGAACATAGCTTATTGACAGCTTATTCACATCGTATAAACTGTTCATATATTTTAACATCCATATCGCAATCTGTAGCGGAAGAGAATATGAATAAAATACGAAAGATTCTAAATGTAAATCCTGTATATAATGGACCAAACAATTTTAGGTCCTTTTATCCATACAGACTGTTGCATAGAGATTGCGTCGGTTATCGTAATTCGCATGTAACTGTGTATCGGAATTTACATTCTTCATAAAAACCATTTTAAACGATTTGAAGCTCTCTTATGTGATTGCCATATCACTTGAATTATTGTAAAAAATATAGACAATATATTACCCTCCTTATTTATGAATATTTTTATAAAATATAATCTATTTTTATGAATTATGGATATTTCTAATAAAGAACTTATTTAACTGCTCTCTCTTTCTTTTTTGTTGTTATTATCTTATTCTTGTTGTTGTCTTTTAATCAAAACGTATTGATAGTGGTGATCGAGTACATCAAATGTATGAAAGCATCCCAAAACAGCTTGTTGCTTTTATAATACACGCGCGCATATATGTATATATAGGATGCCACATTTTTAATTACGCAGAGATTTTTCGAAAACCAAGGGTTTCATTGAAGAATATTGCAAAATTAATACGGTTTCAAGGGGACGCTTGATGGTGCTACTGATTTAGTCCTCAGTGACTTTGTTAAGATTATGCAGAGTTACATCTAATTGTTTAAATAGAATTATATATAGTTCATTCAACAAGAATTGATTCCTCTGGTTATTTCGTGTATAAATGTGTTGCAATGAAATGTATGGAATTTAAAAGTGAATATTTTCCGAAATATTTTAAGTCATATTCTGATATTTTTTAATATAAGATATGCAATGTCTTATATGTTGTAAACTTTTCGATAACGTTACCTTAATATTTGCCTTTACGAAAAAATGTCATAAGAAAACTACTGAGAACAGTAATATTTTAGGCGATTAACGAAAATACTACTGTTTTAACTATTAAAAACTTATATTAAAACTATTTATAAAATTAACAAATAGGTTTTTTATGATTTTTCAATAGTGTTGTAATAAATATACAGTAATATTCCAATATATTTCAATAGTGCTTCAATTATTTTCCTATATTGCTCTTGGTAGTTTTTTCTGATAGCTTTTTTACATAGGGGTGTATACGTTGAATAACGAAGAAAGTCGATTAATAATGTTTGTATATTGATCTCAGAAAGCACAGAAAATTCAAAGGAAATCAAAATTACTAGTGTACCATTTGTCCGAAATTATTTTCAACAATAATATATTATAATATATTATAATATAATATATTCCCAGAGACAGCACACGACGTCCAATAAACGTCCAATTTTGGTTTTTATTTAGTCCCAACTAATCCCCATTTAGTCCATGGAATTAATATGGACGTTTTAATTACGTACATTAGTGAATGTACAAAATATGTTGACTTTTGTACGTTTTAAAGACATCTATTTTATGTATTTCTAAGGAACATATGTTGAGCTCGCATATGTCTTTATTTATTAAGAGTATAAGCCGGTTTCACCAACGCGAATGAATTTAAACAATCGATTAAATTTATTTTCTCTATTGGAACAATTGTATCTGTCAAACGATGATGTGATTGGTTAGTTCCATCGAAAAAGTTATCAATACGAGTTTTAGAAAATTGCGAACAAATTAACCCCTCAATTTGCATTATTAATAAGAAATCCAACAAGCAAAACAACAAAAACATTTAAGCATTTAAAAACATTTTAAAAACATTTAAAAAACATTTTTTAAAACGTTAAAAATAATGGAATAAGTTCCCATTTTTCATTAAAAAAACATTTTTTTTAACGTTTACAAAAATTTTTCGTTTTTTAATATTTAATAGAAGTTTGACATTCATGAAATATTAAAAAAAAACAACATTTTTCCAATCCGTTAAAGAAAACATTTCTTAATGAAAAAAGGGAATTTACCCAGAAAGCATACAGTATTTATGATAAAAATTCATAAATATTTAGGTCGAATTATTTATAAAAATATTACATAAATATTTTATAAATATTTCTATACCTAAAGAAAAACGTATCAAAATCTTTATTCAAACTATTATTAAGATATAGGCTAAGTATTTTATACAATAATTATAGTAAACAAAAAATAGAGACATGTCGATACGTTCCACAGTACAAAGAATGTAAGAATTTAACATTTTTTCCCTGTATTAGCTATATAACCGATTTTTTAAGTGTTATCAAGAGACACGGTAGTGGTTTACATCAAATGCGTGCCTAAGACAATGCACGCATCGCGAGGTCGCGACAATATATGCTTATGTGCAAAAATAATAATATCAAAATCTTGCATTACATAATAATAATAAAGAAATAATAATTACTTAAATTTTTCTGAATCCTGTTCCAATAATCTTGACCTTGATATATGTTAAGAGATTATATATAAATGCTACATTTAAAAAATGCAATAGGTAATAAACTGTATCTCTTTTAAGAGTCAAACAATAGCGACATGGAAAATTCACTTAGTAAATTTCCCCTTCTCCTCCACGTTTTTTTTTATTTTATTTTTATTTCATTTATATTATATATTTATTATATAGTATTATATTTATATTATACAATTATTATATTGTTATATTTACATTATATATTTATTATATTATTTTATTATATTTACCTTATTTATTAATTTTTATTTTAATACTTTATTTATTAAGGGTATTATAGAATATTATATAATAGTAATGAAATTTTCGAGAACTCCGTATATGTTTATACGCAATATTCTAGTTGCGAACGGATATTCGTAGGTCATTATAACTTTGTATCCTATTGAAATTGTCAACTATATTCGTGACATTCTAGGAAACTTGCAAACAGTTTCTCAGGGTCCGCGAAACATTCGTCAACTATATATCTAAACTATGCAAAAAGAATTATCTTACTTTTATACAAGGTACCATACTTTACATATAAGTTACTTCCAAATTGAAATTACAAAAAAATTTTTGATCTTCAGGTAAACAAAACATACAGGCATGGACTTTATGTCCATCATTTTAGATGTGCAAAAATTGCACGCCGATTCTAATTGGATGAGCGGCGATATCAATTATAATAATTTCTTTTATCCAAATATTTGTCACGTTTGCAAAAGTAAAAATTATGGTATTTTGATAGAATGCGATAAGTGTTACATGATTTCTTACTGTAGTGAAAAACATAAACAGAAGCATTTTAAACAACACGAGCAATTTTGCGCATTTATAACAACATTCTTAAGAGAGAAAAGCGGAATGGATAAAACGGAATGGGGTAGTCGTCATTCAGAAACGCCCGAATGGATTGAGTCAAGAAGAATATTTTTGGATGTAATCACGCAAAGGCTACCACGCAGTCTGGAGACGTACGAAATAGAAATGATCATTTTCGCAAAATCATGTCTTATTTGTCACCAACAAATTGATATACATCCCTGTAAAAGATGCTATTCCGCCAACTTTTGCCTTATTCATATGGAAGATTTTTTCAGCAATCACGCATCAAAATGCGGAAACTTGATGTTATGTCTCAATCTAGATATCCTAAATATCATTCCTACAAATTTTAAACGATTAATTAAATTTCCTTATGATGCTAAATCTCTCTATAACATGTTTGAATTTGTTTACAATTGTGTGCACCGTTCTTATTACGACTTGGGCAATTATAACCGAATTCTTACAAAATTCGCATATTTCTGTTCCGATTATGTATCAGGACCATTCACGTTGTATGATGTGATGAGAAATGCACAGTTATTAAATCTCTCGAATATGGCAGGACCTCAAATTGTTATTCACGTAATATCAGCAAATTCTATTCAAAAAAAATATATGAAGGCTTGGGAATTTCTTCAGCATGTTTTAGGTGAAATAAAGGAGCTAACAGTTGTACTGATAGGAAAAAAATTAAAAGCTCAAGATATAAGTTTGGAAAGTTGTGACAGCTGCAAGTCTCGAAATCAGAGGACTAGTATCGTATGTCATCCTGGATCTTACCAAGCGTATACAACTGATCCGACGTTTCAGCGACCAAATGTGATCATAATATTTCAAGCACATTTTGATGCAACAAACACCTGGCAAGAAGATAGCTTATTAACACCGCAGCGTATGAACTGTCCATATATTCTAACAGCCGGATCGCAATCTATAGCGGAAGAGAACATAAGTAACATTCGAAAGATTATAAATATAAATCCTGTATATAACGCATCAAACATTTTTAGGTCCTTTTATCCACGCAGACTGTTGCACACTGACTGTGTCGGTTTTCGTAATTCGCATTTAACTGTATATCGGAATTTACATCCTTCATAAAAACCATTTTAAACGATTTGAAGCTCTCTTATGTGATTCCCATATCACTTGTATTATTGTAAAAAATACAAACAATATATTGCCCTCATTATTTATGAATATTTTTATAATATATAATCTATTTTTATGAATTATGCATATTTTTAATAAAGAGCTTATTTAACTGCTCTTTCTTTCTTTTTTGTTGTTATTGTCCTATTGTTGTTATAGACTTTTAATCAAAATATGTTGATAGTGGTAAACGAGTACATCAAATGTATGAAAGTATCCCAAAACAGTATGTTGCTTTTATACATACACACGCGCATACACACATGTATATACAGGATACCTCATATTAAAATACGCATAGAAATTTTTCGAAAACCAAGAGTTTCATTGAAACATGTTGCAAACAAAATTAATGGGGTTTCAAGAGGACGCTTGATGGTGCTACTGATTTAATCCTGAATAACTCTGATAAGATTACGTAGAATTACTAAAATACTACTGTTTTCATTATTGAAAATTTATATTAAAACTATTTATAAAATTAACGAATAGATTTTCTATAATTTTTCGATAGTGTTGTTATAAGTATTCGATAGTATTCCAATATATTTCTATAGTGCTTCAATAATTTTTATATATTGCTCTGAGTAGTATTTTATTATAGCTTTTTTACGTAAGGGTGTATACGTTGAATGACGAAGAAATTCGGTTAATAATGTTCATCTGTGTATATTGATCTCAGAAAGCACAGAAAATTCAAAAGTAGTCAAATTACTAATGAACCATTTTTCCAAATTTATTTTCAACAATAATGTTATAATATATTATATAACGTAATACATTAATATTACAAATAAAGTATCCGTTATCGTAGGCGAAAAAAATATCAGACACAGAATTTTTGTCATGTACTAGTCTATTTTGAACCGCGAGTATATCTCGTGATTGTGATCCAAACAAATCTACCTTTATATAAAAAAAATGAAAACATGCGCCAAGTTCACGCGTTTACCTGCGAGTGGAATTGTACTAAAATCGATTTTTCAAATGTTATCAAGAAACACGGTAGTGACTTACATCAAATGCGTGCCTAAAACAATGCACGCACCGCGAGTCGACAATATATGCTCATGTGATGTGCAAAAATAATAAAATCAAAATCTTGCATTACTTAATAATAATAAAAAAATAATAATTACTTAAATTTTTGTGAATCCTGTTCCAATAATCTTGACCTTGATATATGTTAAGAGATTATATATAAATGCTACATTTAAAAAATGCAATAGGCAATAAACTGTATCTCTTTTAAGAGTCAAACAATAGCGGCATGGAAAATTAACTTAGTAAATTTCCACTTTTCCTCCACGTTTTTCTTTTTATTTAATTTTTGTTTCATTTATATTACATGTTTATTATATAGTATTATATTTATATTATACAATTATTATATTGTTATATTTACATTATATATTTATTATATTATTTTATTATATTTACCTTATTTATTATTTTTTTTATTTTAATACTATATTTATTAAGGGTATTATAGAATATTATATAATAGTAATGAAATTTTCGAGAACTTCGTATATATTTATTCGCAATATTCTAGTTGCGAACGGATATTCGTAGGTCATTATAACTTTGTATGCTATTGAAATTGTCAACTATATTCGTGACATTCTATGAAACTTGCAAACAGTTTCTCAGGGTCCGCGAAACATTCCTCAACTGTATATCTAAACTATGCAAAGAGAATTATCTTACTTTTATACAAGGTACCGTACTTTACATAAGTATTATAAGTTACTTCCAAATTGAAATTACAAAGAAATTTTTTATCTTCAGGTAAACAAAATATACAGGCATGGACTTTATGTCCATCATTTTGGATGTGCAAAAATTGCACGCCGATTCGACTTGGATGAACGGCGATATCAATTATAATAATTTCTTTTATCCAAATATTTGTCACGTTTGCAAAAGTAAAAATTATGGTATTTTGATAGAATGTGATAAGTGTTACATGATTTCTTACTGTAGTGAGAAACATAAACAGAAACATTTTGAACAACACCAGCAATTTTGCACATTTATAACAAAATTCTTAAGAGAGAAAGACGGATTGGGTAAAACGGAATGGGGTATTCGTCATTCAGAAACGCCCGAATGGATTGAGTCAAGAAGAATATTTTTGGATGTAATCACGCAAAGGCTACCACGCAGTCTGGAGACGTACGAAATAGAAATGATCATTTTCGCAAAATCATGTCTTATTTGTCACCAACAAATTGATATACATCCCTGTAAAAGATGCTATTCCGCCAACTTTTGCCTTATTCATATGGAAGATTTTTTTATCAATCACACATCAAAATGCGGACACTTGATGTTATGTCGCAATCTAGATATCTTAAATATCATACCTACAGATTTTAAGCGATTAATTGAATTTCCATGTGAAGTTAAATTTGTCTATCACATGTATCAATTTGTTACCCATTATGTGCACTGTCCGTATATCGACTTGGACGATTTTAACCGAAATCTTACAAAATTCGCATATTTCTGTTCCGATTATGTATCAGGACCATTCACGTTGTATAATGTGATGAGAAATGCACAGTTATTAAATCTCCCAAATATGGCGAGTCCTCAAATTGTTATTCACGTAATATCAGCAAACTCTATTGAAAATAAATATATGAAGGCTTGGGAATTTCTCCAGCATGTTATAGCTGAAATAAAGGAGCTAACAGTTGTACTGATAGGAGAAAAATTAAAAGCTCAAGATATAAGTTTGGAAAGTTGTGACAGCTGCAAGTCTCGAAATCAGAGGACTAATATCGTATGTCGTCCTGGATCTTACCAAGCGTATACAACTGATCCGACGTTTCAGCGACCAAATGTGATCATAATATTTCAAGCACATTTTGATGCAACAAACACCTGGCAAGAAG